GGCAGAAGGTAAGTTAGCACCCAAGTTTGTGGGGCCATGTCGGGTAATTAGCAAAAAGAATGCAGAAGTGAAGGTTAAGGTGCTAAACACAGGGCATGTGTTCTCCTGTCACCCAGACCGCGTCTATACACTGACCGGTCAGGCAAGTGAGGAGCCATACCGGCGGGGAGTGTGCCAGGGGAGAGCACACCAGCGGCTGAGGACACAGGTAGGGGTACGAGGAGTTGGCAATCAAGGGTGGATAACACAGAACAGCCTTCGCAGGACCGGGAACAAGGTCCACAGGCGACGGTGACACATCGCTATCCGACCCGCTCTCGTGGGGTCATGAACACAGAAGGAGCATAGTATGTACTGTAGAGTAGTGCATGGCCATGGTAGTTTTTGTAGAGTGTGGGGTAGTGTGTAGAGTGCGGTGTAGAGTAGCGTGTGTAGTGGGTGGTGTAGTGTAGTGGCGTTGGGGACGCCGGATGTTGTGTTGATGGCGTTGGGGACGCCGGGTGTTGTGTTGATGGCGTTGGGGACGCCAGGTGTTGTGTTGATGGCGTTGGGGACGCCAGGTGTTGTGTTGATGGCGTTGGGGACGCCGGGTGTTGTGTTGATGGCGTTGGGGACGCCGGGTGTTGTGTTGATGGCGTTGGGGACGCCGGGTGTTGGGGACGCCGGGTGTTGATTGATGGCGTTGGGGACGCCGGGTGTTGTGTTGATGGCGTTGGGGACGCCATTGGGTGGTGTTGTGTTGAGTGGGGACGCCGGGTGTTGTGTTGATGGCGTTGGGGACGCCATTGGGTGGTGTAGTGTAGTGGCGTTTGGACGCCTGGTATGGAGTGTGGTGTTGTGGAGTATATGGTGGCGCAGGGGCGCCAGGTAGTGGTCTGTAAGGTGAGTATTGGCGTAGCAAGGTCGGTGCGTTAGGACACAGGAAGTGGTTGTGGAGATGTGTGGCGTTATATTAATTAAGGTCATCAGTGGTTGGGATGACCAGAGGAGATGGTGTGTCGGAGTGGGTAAGTCTTATGGATAAGATGAAATGTGGATAATTGCAGGAGTTGGTGGCTGCAGTAGGCGAGTCAAGTCGATATATCTAGCAAAACTCATAAAAGACTAATAAAAATTCATTATTTTCATTAAAATTTTCATTAATTAAGTCGGAGTGGGTAAGTCTTATGGATAAGATTACAAGGTAGAAATTCAAAATTTCAGGTGTTGGTGGCTGCAGTGGGCGAGCCAAGTACATATATTAAATTCTCATTAAGTTGTTACAGGAATCTCGCTAGAGGCGAGCCAGTGGCAGTATGATGCTTTAGTGACATTAGTTGTGGAATTATTTTAATGAGGTATTTATTGAGATAATGTATGTGCATGTATATACTGTATATTACCTCATCGGCACCATTACTGAGTGTTAGGCTTGAGAAGGTCCCCCGGGATCATGTCACAGAGCTTCAGGTAGAGTAGAAGGGAAGCCATGAGGCTACACTCAGTAATTCTAGAAAAAAAAGGGGGGAGGAAGTGAAGCCAACGTGACGTTATAGGCGAAATTCGCCCCCTGACATCAAAGCAGGGATAAGGGCCAGCTGCAATGGCTTTGCAGCTGTGCTCAGGCTATATACGGGGAGAGAGTAGGGAGCCAAGAGGGTGTCATGTAATAATGGGATCGAGCCAGGGGCTCAGAGGGAATATTTTGCAGGTACAGCGGTCGGGAAGGTGTGAATACAGGTGGACACACTCTGGGCAGATGGACCTAGAGTAATGTGCTACAGCTGTGGTGAGCACAGCAAGGAAGGATGACCAGAGAGCTGTAAGGTACTACAGCGTTCTGGGGTTGGTTCCCTGGAACGAGACGGCAGCATAGACCCGAGGGAACATGACCCTGGGGTAGGAATCTCCGTTGCTCTGGAGGCCAGGATCACGTTAGCTTAGAGCAACGATGGGACATTGACAACATTCACCAGGCTGGACAGCCTGGGTTTTGTCTGGGTCATGGAGGATCTATGACCTAGCAACCATGGGACACGAAGACAAGAGAAGTGATGCTGGCAATTGTGGAGGAGGCCAGTGAAACATTGTGTGACCATTGTAAGCCCTTATGTCAACAGTACAGGGCAAGATGTTAAATTATTATTAACGTGTTACTAAGGATGAAGAACCTTAGATATATATGTGTTGTGTATATATTAATGACTAGTGTCATTTCTGGTTAAGTGCCAGCATTCGGGTCCATGTAATTTTATGGTTATGTTTGTATGTAATTATATGTCAGCAGTTTAGGTATATGTGCATTGTTGGAGATGGGAAAAAATATTTCAGACTATTATACCTGTGCTATGATGTGAATATAATGTATATGTTGGAGAAGTGTTGTGAGTCATGTCGGGGAAAATTTTAATTTAGTTCATCGTGTGCATGATGAACTGATTGGATGATTTTTTAGTTGTACATATATGGTGGGTGCATCCTCCAGGTCCTTGCACCAATGGAACCATTGCAATGATGCATATGGGGACATATGCGTGTTTAAGGAGGGGAGTGGTGTTGTAATCCACAAGTTAGTAGGGATTATTAGCTAGAGGATCATTACTACAACACTTAACGAATGATGATTGGAAGTACATGTTAAGTAGACAGACTATGGATCACATATCTAAGAAAGGTCAATGGATTAAGACCGCAGCTGCTTAGCCAAATTAATGATTCCTGGAAAGAGAACTCAGGCTTCTAGGAACAAGGTTACCGCTCTATGGATAAGGTTAATCGGATTATACCTTCCTTGAGAGGCGGGGTGAAATGGTTGAGGTAGATGGCTGACTGGAGACAGTCTTGTTGTGGGAGTGGAACCGGCAAGTCCTCCGAGGTCTCCGTTTGTGGCAGCAGCGAAGTGTAGCAGACAGCTATGCGAGAGCCTGATGTGATCTTAGTGACAAAGTTAAGTCTGCAGTATGTGAGTATTGAATGTAAGACTAACCGGGTGTGGAGCGTTGTAGTAATCATTCCGTATTAGGGACTTAGGCGGAAGTTACGAGTGTGGGTGGTGATCGCGGAGGTCAAGTGGTCTATGGGTATTGGAAGTGTATGGACCTAATAGAGTATGTTAATATGTTATTATTTGTCAGAGTCTATTCTTTGTAATTAAATGACAAAACCCGACGGCCTTTAAATACCTTCCATATGTTCACTCATTGTGTTCCAGTACAAACCTAGTGGTACGCCTCAAGGGTCTGGTGTGTGTAGGAGTACACGGTGGTAGTAACGGTTGCTGAGGCAAGGTGTTATGTGTTGTGTAATCGCTGTGTTCGGAATGAACCGGGGTTCAGCGTCACGACAATATCTTGGCTGATTAGTCTATTATCACGAATATTGCAATTACTAGCTAATCTTCTTTTGACCGTGAATGATTATATTTTGACAATGTATATCATACATAACCTACTATATTATATTTCTGTATCAAAGTTGTATGCCATGTAATTGTGGATTTATATATTTGATGTCTAGTGTATAGCAGTAGCCTAATGTCACGTAGCTTGAAAATCTCTTTGTATGCTTACTGTATGAAATGCTACATAAAAGCTGTATAGGAAGTATTATGTGAACCATGATGGAGAATGTATACATTTAGGTCTCGGATGTATTGCTCACATGTATACTGTGTAATTTAAATTTCATTGTTGTTCCTTACATTGTCCTCTTGTCATGACATTAAATGATATTATGGCACTGTGAAATATATACCCGTAGACAAGCTTTTGATACACATATTGTGTGTGTATATATATATATGTTGTACCTAGTAGCCAGAACGTCGTACTCGGCCTGCTATGCAAGACCCGATTTGCCTAATAAGCCAAGTTTTCCTGAATTAATATATTTTCTCTAATTTTTTTTTATGAAATGATAAAGCTACCCATTTCATTATGTATGAGGTCAATTTTTTTATTGGAGTTAAAATTAACGTAGATATATGACCGAACCTAACCAACCCTACCTAACCTATCTTTATAGGTTAGGTTAGGTTAGGTAGCCGAAAAAGTTAGGTTAGGTTAGGTTAGGTTAGGTAGTCGAAAAACAATTAATTCATGAAAACTTGGCTTATTAGGCAAATCGGGCCTTGCATAGTAGGCTGAGAAGTGCGTTCTGGCTACTAGGTACGACATATATATATATATATATATATGCGATAAGCCTGAATATCCCCATATATATAATATATATATATATATATATATATATATATATATATATATATATATATATATATATATATATATATATATATATATATATATATATATATATATATATATATATATATATATATATATATATATATATATATATATATATATATATATATATATATATATATTGAGAAGTTGGATAAAGTAATAGTGTGTGAGTTGGTAGATTTATATTAATTATGTTGTTATGTGGATTTATATTAATGGACAGTAAACTGGAAGATTTTTTGCTAGCCTTTCACTCCCCTAGAATATTGATTGATATTTGGCCAGGTTAGTTTCCAGTGATGCTGGAGGTTACTTCCTCAGTTATCATTTTTTCCCCACATACACAAACACACACACCCCAGGAAGCAACCCGTATCAGCTGTCAAACTACCAGGTACCTATTTACTGCTAGGTAACAGGGGCATCAGGGTGAAAGAAACTCTACCCATTTCATTTCCACCTCCACCGGGGATCGAACCCGGAACCTCAGGACAACGAATACGAAGTGCTGCCCACTCAGCTGTCAGCCCCCCCCCCCAGGCATTTATACACACCCCAGTGTACTCACCTAATTGTGCTTGCGGGGGTTGAGCTCTGGCTCTTTGGTCCCGCCTCTCAACCGTCAATCAACAGCTGTACAGGTTCGTGTGTGTGTGTGTGTGTGTGTGTGTGTGCGTGTCTCATAACTCACAAACATATGCCACAGTCTTAACTTGACAAGCCACGTGTTATCCTCACAATGAGTGAGGCCACCAACCAGAGTGAGATACTGACCCTTGACAATGAGGAGGACAGGCCTGGTGATCTTGGGGTCAGAGTTGACCTGACACTCGTACCAGCCACCGTCCCCTGGCTGGGCGTACTTGATGTGTAGCGTCCACTCGTCCGTGTTCCCCGGGTGCAGCACCTGCCACACAACCTTACCATTATTATATATAACAATATTATCACAGGTAATAATGTGTAGCGTCCACTCGTCCGTGTTCCCCGGGTGCAGCACCTGCCACACAACCTTACCATTATTATATATAACAATATTATCACAGGTAATAATGTGTAGCGTCCACTGGTCCGTGTTCCCCGGGTGGAGCACCTGCCACACAACCTTACCATTATTATATATAACAATATTATCACAGGTAATAATGTGTAGCGTCCACTGGTCCGTGTTCCCCGGGTGGAGCACCTGCCACACAACCTTACCATTATTATATATAACAATATTATCACAGGTAATAATGTGTAGCGTCCACTCGTCCGTGTTCCCCGGGTGCAGCACCTGCCACACAACCTTACCATTATTATATATAACAATATGATCACAGGTAATAATGTGAAGATCCACTAGGGCTGTGAGGTGGGCGCGAACCTGCGACCTCGACATTGTCAAGTAGAATACTCTACCACTGGACCACCGGTTCTTATCATTGATATATATCACGTTAATGTAATTACTGTGTAAATAAAATATTATTAATATTAAATCATACATATAATAATAATAGTTATAGGTAGAATGATAATATTAAACCCATGATTCCGGTACATTTCTCCGCTCAATACTTCAGCGTTCATGTTGCCGTTCGTGAAGCCGGATCACAGCCTAGGCGCTCAAGAACGCCACATGTGTGTGATGTATGGCGGAGGAAGATCTTGTACCCCTGAAACATGGCTTGTAATGGCTTACTGTGTCCTCCTCATAATTACCTTACCTCACCTTGCACGCTTACACTCATCACCAAACTTATGAGAATAGGTGAGAGTGTGAGGAAGTGGTGAGTGTGAGGACCGCGGACAATAGTTATGCTGGCCAAACACCTTTAACCTTTAACCTCTTAGACCTTTAACTCGCGGCTAGAGAACAATTCTAGAAAATTCGAATATTCTAGAAATTTCGACCCGAATCGAGAGGAAGAAAGAAGCGGGTATATAGAGAGTCCCACCACCTGCCACAGTCAGTATAAGTGTAGACGTGGACCAGTACACATGCTCCTCCTCCACTTCATATATAAATCTTATTTATAAAGAGTTAATCCTGACCCTTTCCCAGTGCTATATAATCGTAACGACTTGGCGCTTTCCCCCTCATACTTCCCTGCCCTTGCAATCAGCTTAACACTTGACAAATCAACACACATCACAAATGGTAATAGTTGCCCACTATTATTGACCAAAACTTGCTGGACTGTGTACGTGTTGTTGTGAAGCTGTGGATGACTGCTGCAGTAGTGTGGTGGTGGTTCCCGAGGAAGAAAGGCACACAGTGTGCGTGTTCAGCAGCACACCATTAAGGGGTCCACTATGCCTCCCTCGGCTCCCTTCACCAATCGATTCAGATCTAATTATTAGTGTCGGATGGGGAGGGAAGTCTTTTATAATTATCCTGGCAATTAATATTGTAGCAATTATTAGTATTAAGTTTTCCTCCCTAATTATGTGCGTTTAGGGATGGTTGGTGCAGCTCTACATATTTGATGACCATCTTCATCAAATGGGTAATATTTATTTAATATGTACAACGTATATCTAATTAGTTCATCAAAGTATTAATCTATACTATGTGTATGTTTGTGTGTCTGGAAAACTGGAGGCCAGAGGGTTGAGGACTGCCTCACTGAAACCTATCAACGGTATAGGTTAAGTAATAATTGTAATTACGAAGCAATAAAATGCTTATCTTAACATACTAAGAAGGTTAGGTGAGGTCGTGTTTTCTATGAAGCTTTTCAAGGTAAACTAAAATATTCACAATCAATTAGTATGTCACATATGCACTTATTAAATAAGCCAATATTGACTATAAGCAAGTGCGAGAACGGGTTGAGGAAGCAGCCCGTAGCAGCTGTCTAACTCCCAGGTACCTATTTAGTCTCCCTTCTTGTCTGTGTTTCCTCCTAAAATGTTCCGTCAGGAGGTTTCTTTCTGCACTCTCTACTAAGTTTGCTCTCCAAGTCTCTTCTTCCACTCTTACATCGACTGATTCCTAGTCAACTTGCCGCATGGTTGAACTCTCCCATTACTAGTAACTTTGTTCTCAATCTACGAGATAATTTAGTTACACTTTTGATTATATATATATATATATATATATATATATATATATATATATATATATATATATATATATATATATATATATATATATATATATATATATATATTATTAAATATGACCGAAAAAGTAAGATTAATAATTCTAACACGAATTTTCTCAATCTTTCGTACATTTCGTTTCACTGTTGGAGGTAAATCAAAAATCAATTCTCCAAAATTCATTTTTATTTCTAGTCTGACGCGACACGAGCGCGTTTCGTAAAACTTATTACATTTTCAAAGACTTTAGTTCACAAATACACAACTGAATAGAACTTACGCATCTCTGATTTTATATCTACATTTGAGTGAGGTGGAAGGGGTGATGTGGCATTAACACAAGACAGAACAAGATGTGGTATTAATAGGGTATTAATTTCATCAACACAAGACAGAACAAGAAGTGGTATTAATAGGGTATTAATTTCATCAACACAAGACAGAACACGAAACAATGGATATTGAATAGAAGTGTTTGTAGAAAGCCTATTGGTCCATATTTCTTGATGCTTCTATATTGGAGCGGAGTCTTGAGGTGGGTAGAATATAGTTGTGCAATAATTGGCTGTTGATTGCTGGTGTTGACTTCTTGATGTGTAGTGCCTCGCAAACGTCAAGCCGCCTGCTATCACTGTATCTATCGATGATTTCTGTGTTGTTTACTAGGATTTCTCTGGCGATGGTTTGGTTGTGGGAAGAGATTATATGTTCCTTAATGGAGCCCTGTTGCTTATGCATCGTTAAACGCCTAGAAAGAGATGTTGTTGTCTTGCCTATATACTGGGTTTTTTGGAGCTTACAGTCCCCAAGAGGGCATTTGAAGGCATAGACGACGTTAGTCTCTTTTAAAGCGTTCTGTTTTATGTCTGGAGAGTTTCTCATGAGTAGGCTGGCCGTTTTTCTGGTTTTATAGTAAATCGTCAGTTGTATCCTCTGATTTTTGTCTGTAGGGATAACGTTTCTATTAACAATATCTTTCAGGACCCTTTCCTCCATTTTATGAGCTGTGGAAAAGAAGTTCCTGTAAAATAGTCTAATAGGGGGTATAGGTGTTGTGTTAGTTGTCTCTTCAGAGGTTGCATGGCTTTTCACTTTCCTTCTTATGATGTCTTCGACGAAACCATTGGAGAAGCCGTTATTGACTAGGACCTGCCTTACCCTACAGAGTTCTTCGTCGACTTGCTTCCATTCTGAGCTGTGGCTGAGAGCACGGTCGACATATGCGTTAACAACACTCCTCTTGTACCTGTCTGGGCAGTCGCTGTTGGCATTTAGGCACATTCCTATGTTCGTTTCCTTAGTGTAGACTGCAGTGTGGAAACCTCCGCCCTTTTCCATGACTGTTACATATAGAAAGGGCAGCTTCCCATCCTTTTCCATCTCGTAAGTGAAACGCAGCACGGAACTCTACTCAAATGCCTCCTTCAGCTCCTGCAGATGTCTGACATCAGGTACCTGTGTAAAAATGTCGTCAACATACCTGCAGTATATGGCCGGTTTCAAGTTCATGTCGACTAAGACGTTTTGCTCGATGGTACCCATGTAGAAGTTTGCAAACAGGACACCTAGGGGAGAACCCATGGCGACCCCATCTACTTGCTTATACATGTGCCCATCCGGGCTCAAGAAGGGTGCCTCTTTAGTACAAGCTTGGAGTAGTTTCCTCAGAATATTTTCTGGTATGTGCTCTCAGCCACAGCTCAGAATGGAAGCAAGTCGACGAAGAACTCTGTAGGGTAAGGCAGGTCCTAGTCAATAACGGCTTCTCCAATGGTTTCGTCGAAGACATCATAAGAAGGAAAGTGAAAAGCCATGCAACCTCTGAAGAGACAACTAACACAACACCTATACCCCCTATTAGACTATTTTACAGGAACTTCTTTTCCACAGCTCATAAAACGGAGGAAAGGGTCCTGAAAGATATTGTTAATAGAAACGTTATCCCTTCAGACAAAAATCAGAGGATACAACTGACGATTTACTATAAAACCAGAAAAACGGCCAGCCTACTCATGAGAAACTCTCCAGACACAAAACAGAATGCTTTAAAAGAGACTAACGTCGTCTATGCCTTCAAATGCCCTCTTGGGGACTGTAAGCTCCAAAAACCCAGTATATAGGCAAGACAACAACATCTCTTTCTAGGCGTTTAACGATGCATAAGCAACAGGGCTCCAGTAAGGAACATATAATCTCTTCCCACAACCAAACCATCGCCAGAGAAATCCTAGTAAACAACACAGAAATCATCGATTGATACAGCGATAGCAGGCGGCTTGACGTTTGCGAGGCACTACACATCAAGAAGTCAACACCAGCAATCAACAGCCAATTATTGCACAACTATATTCTACCCACCTCAAGACTCCGCTCCAATATAGAAACATCAAGAAATATGGACCAATAGGCTTTCTACAAACACTTCTATTCAATATCCATTGTTTCGTGTTCTGTCTTGTGTTGATGAAATTAATACCCTATTAATACCACTTCTTGTTCAGTCTTGTGTTGATGAAATTAATACCCTATTAATGCCACCTCTTGTTCTGTCTTGTGTTAATGCCACATCACCCCTTCCACCTCACTCAAATGTAGATATAAAATCGGAGATGCGTAAGTTCTATTCAGTTGTGTATTTGTGAACTAAAGTCTTTGAAAATGTAATATATATATATATATATATATATATATATATATATATATATATATATATATATATATATATATATATATATATATATATATATATATATATATATATATACATTTGAGTGAGGTGGAAGGGGTGATGTGGCATTAACACAAGAC